TTACGGTGGTTTAGTGATTGTAACATTTTTGGTCCCTATAGTTTCGAATTTCCAAATTCATCAGTATGGTAAGCAAAAACAACCGAATATTTGATCCCTCTCTAATGATCATTAGAAGAACCTGTTAAAATGAGGGGCATTATAGTCTTTTTTTATCTTTCTCTTATTTTGTTTTTTAAGATATATTAAAAAAAATTTATATTATTTTATGATATATTATATTTAGATTAATATGTGTATATATATATATACACACACAGATGTCAGGTCCCCCTACGAACCCCTTGGCCTCCCTCCCCTGTCTCCAGCGAACCATCATAGGTCACCATCTTTGGTGAACCAACGCTCTCCCAACCTGACTGTCGATCTTCTCCATCCTCAGCTTCCTCTCCCTTCTTTCAATCCATATTATTTCTAACCTAACATACCTTGATGTTGATAATTTCAAACATCAAAATGATCAAAATAAACCCAAACACCAAATTTAAACCTAAACATAAAATCTCGTGAGAACAATCAATCCTGCGAGATTTCAAATCCAGAAAATCGTACAAACCAAACACGGGATTGAAATGAAATTCAATTACAAATCCGATCCACAAAAGGGACCTAAGAGGCGCTTGATTGGATGAATTTGGATTTCGAGAATAATTTGGAATTGGAGGCATTTGGAATTTTGGTGTGTGATAGAGGCTAGATATCGTATTTCTACAACACTAAGTGGTAATATATTCAAGTATACATATGTCAAGACTATCGCCTTTCAAGTATACATATGTCAAGACTATCATCTTTCAAGTAATAAAATGGTAAATTCCAAGTATCACATTCCACATGGACATGTATCTTAAGTTGCAAGATCTCAAGTTGAAAGACTAACTTCAAATGGTGAATTTGAAGACAGTGTTTGGTTTTGAGTTAACACTATTGAAAAATGACAAAAACTAAAGAAAGCAAGGGTGTAAGACTTGTGGTGAGACGTAAACATAAATTCCAGTAGACTAGTGTTGTCAAAATGCCACAACATGCAGTTAGCAACAACTAGTTACACCATCTATTTTGTGGATATTTTTTTGGACTTTCAACATTTGCACTAATGTTTAGATTCAACTACACATCTCTGTGCGGTATCAAACTAGTGGTAATGCATAATGAATTTCTCAATATATATGGTTAATAAATCTCTTTATATAAAATCACTCTATCAAACGGATTCTCATATCATTCAAGTTGATGTGTTCCAAATGGCTTATCCTTAAGTCTACTCCACTTTAACATTTCAATAAGTAACCAACGTGTCAAGAATTAATCAATGTAAAAAACACAGACACAAATCTCTTTGTTAACAACTTTCTCAAGTTTTCTTCCCATATTATTCAAATTGACGTGCATTCGAGTTGTTTATCTTTGAGTCCATGAACTTTATACTTTACAAAATGATCAACTCGTCACAAAGTGTCTATGGTTTTTTAAAACTTGAAATGAAATAATGGAACAGCATTGTTGCAAAATAGGGTCTACTTTTCTTTGGTTTACAATCTCACCATTTCCGTCCTACACCCAAGGTAGGAGAATTTACTACTCATTACAGATTGTAAATATATATATATAAATGTAAATTAGAGTAAATAAAGACATGAAAAATAAATAACTATAAGTAAATGATGGAAACTAAAAAGTGGAATGTAAAGACAGAAAATATAAAAAATATAAAGAACTTAAAGTAACAAGATCTTCTAAAATTCTACGATTTACATATTAAAGAAACACTTCAAAATATGAACTAGAATCATATTAAAGTTGATCTACCACACCTTAAAACAACTAACACAAAACTTCTATTTATACTAAGCTACAAGTGAGAGCAAATAGGTAAATTAACACCACACTTGGAGCTAAAGCTTGTTGTTTGTCACGAATGGGATGACAATTAACAAAAAGTAATTGTAGAAGGGGATGAGACTGAATACAATTACTCAGATTTTTTCAACTTTTTAATTCTTATTGATGAATATCAAGAATTAACACATAGAGATACAATATAAATTGTTGCGGAAGAAGGAAATGATAACCTAAACTAAACAATCATAATTACACATAGAAGAACTTACAAGAACAACATAGCGAGTACTTGCAAGAAAATAAAGAACACTAAGTTTTTCTTCACACACAGGAGAGTCTGATTGTCTTGAGAATGCACTTAGAAATTCTTTCAGGAAAGCGTAGTTTGCATGGGAGATGTTCTACTTTTATACTATCTTCATGCATTAAATGCATTGAGACACTTGTCACCTTAGGATAAGGAGACAAAGGTTGACTTGACCGTAGTTGATATATCATTTACAGCGTACTCTATGTGCACACATCACTATTCAAATTAACCCTTCCCTAAAGTAAAAACAAGTAAATCATTAACTCTAAATCCATAAAACAAATAAATAGAAAATAAGGTGAGAAAATGACCCAAGATTGAGATATAAAAGAAAAATGACCTATCGGTTATAATGAAGAAATGAGTGTTTAAACATTAAACAATTAATGTGTATCAATGTGTTTGATTTGTAGGGTTTCGACTGAAATTGAATTCCACTTTTTATAATAATTTACAAAAACAAATGATAAAAATAGTTATAATTGAAGTACCCATTTATTAATTATTATTATAAAACAAATATTTTTAACATATTTTAACACATTATTACATTTAAATCTTACTAAATCTCGTGAAATACCAACAATCCTTCAATGAAATCCCATGCTTGTGTTATTTTGATGAAATCCTGATATTCGAATCCAAACATAGGATTTGAATGGAATTAAATTCCAAATCCCTTCAATAACTATCCAATCCTAGAAGCCAAACGGGACCTAAGAGTTTTTAACTAGAATATGTATCTTGCATTTTATTAATAGGGTTCAACTCTAGGTGACGAATACGTGTTGGATTACGAGAGGATAGAATTGACCAATCCTAGAAGGACAAGAGATGTAGACATAAGACGAAAGGATCTCAAATAATCAAGTTCAATAATGTTGATATATATAGACACATGATAAATGTGTAAATAAATTAAGTCTAGCCAGTAAGTGTAAATTTTATCTTGTAACCTTTTTTGAAACTAATTAATGTATTGATCGTCTTTTGAGCATGATCTTGACACTGTAACAAAGGTGGTATGATAGAACAACCCTAATAAAGTTCTTACAGAGACTAAAACCAACAATTAATTATGTATGATATCTAAATGTGTTGTAATAAGTTATAAGAACAACAAATTGTTAGAACAAATATAAATAACACAACAAGACTCAAGAAGTATATCATCCTATTAGTATTTTTATATGACATTTAAAAAAACATCAAATGAAAATGTCCAAAAAGTCATGTTAATTTATTGTAATATACTCATATAGGTAATCAATAATACCAAACTACTACACATATCATGTACATTTTTCTTGCAATTTCATTTTGTTCGCAGTAACGGTCTATCTATCTATCTGTCTGTTTGTTTGTCTGTCAGTATGTACATATGTATGCATGTATATATGTACCGTTGCAACATTCATATAAGATTCAAGATTTAATTACCTATGTTGCAAGATTGAGGAGGAAATCTTAAGGCACTAGCAACATAGATGGATTTGTTCAAGACACTTCTGATCGATTTCTTTAAAGATTATGAGTTTGAACCTCAAAACAAAGGCTTTACTCATCATCTCTTTGACTGAAGTTTTTAAAGTTGAAAAAGAAAAAAAAAAAACAATACAACTGTATTCAAGAACCTTTTTCATGCCAATTAACCTTCACAAAGAGGAGAAATAATAGGGCACAAGATCCAAGGGTTCCATTAACAACAAGCATGGTGGGGGAAGAAGGTTGGAAAAAGTGATGGAAATCAAGACCAAAAACATTGTTGTAAAAGGAAGGTATAAGGGCAAGCATCATGATTCTTGATGCTTCCTAGAAGACAAGCATATGAAGTTCATTTGTTTGAATTTTAAGATGGTCACTTTTCCACAGGTATGACAAATAAGATCTTGACATAAATGAATATATATGCAACACCAATTAACCACATACATAAACACACACAAAACCCTAATTTGATTTATTATTAGGTGCAACCCCTTTTGACATTTTTGCACTCCACAAGAAAAAGACATTCCCAAAAGGCATTTTTCTTCCATGAAAGCTTCATAACCTTTTGGCAGCTGATCTCTGGAATAAACTTTCAAGAATTAGCTGGCACAAACCCATCTAATCTTTTTTTAAACCCCAGAAACAGACAAATTTCTTTGAAAGGTCAATGCATTCATCTTTAAATATTCATTTTTTTATTATTTATATTTCTTTATTTTAATCAAATAATGATCTTGAAGTTCTTACACTCTTCCCTTTGAGGATTCTCCATCTCTAGGCTTCTAAGATGGCTTTTCTTTTTGTCTAATTTTCTAAATCTTGGTTCCCCAAGTTGGATTTTTTTTGGTATTATTACAGTTTTCTAGTCAATATCTTTGTCTTTTTGTGGGTATCATAGTCAGTGAAGGTTGGCTGATTCACATGTATACTTGGTTAATTTAATCGATTAAAATATTATTTATCTAATGAAATATCTAAATCACCCCTAAAACGCATGGTAACTTCTCTTTTTATCCATGTTTGAAGACATCAAAATTATGCTATTTAATTGTTAATCTGTCCAGAATAAGTCTGGAATCAAGAACAAGGGTACGTTGTCTGATTAACTGTTTGTTAATTAATATGTGCTGATGAGATGTCGTTATTGGACACAATAATGTCTGTATACTTTAAGAATATTGAAATTTCTATAGAAGACTGAGATTAGGATCAACATCAAGCCAAATAAAAGATGCTTACCAATTCACAAAGTCTATATCTTGGGCTTGACAATAAACACGATTTAATTAATTAATTAATTATATGTCGGAAATTTGCAGATATGATAGATACGGTTTTAATAGGCTCTAAAGTTCTGAAACTGGAAAAGGAAGTTCTTGATAGCGAAAAAGAAAATAAGAGATGAACAGAAAGAAACACTTTTTACCATTTCTACTGACCTAATTAAGTTAACAAGAATAATATCAAAATGAAAAGAAAAAAGAAATGGGAAAAACCCCACAAATTTTTCACAAACCCAGTCATCCCTAGTACTAGAGATGATAATGTTGATGAAGATGATGATGATCATGATCATGATGATGACGATGATATTCAGCATCCATTGTTGGTGCAATAATTAGTAGTACATGACTTTTTCTACTTCCTTGGTTTCATCAACGAAAAAGTTGAGATTGTTGTCAATGTTACTGCTGCATAGATTTGTGCTAATAAGCTGCTTAATCTCCTCAAGGCTGCAGTCCAATGAAGAATCCCCATAATACCCTTTTTCCTTCTCATAATTCCCACCAAACTCTTTGTAAGAATCACTCTGCAAGTTCCCCATGTTGTTATGATCATACACACCAACAGTCCCATACTCGTAATGACAGCTCCCATCAGAATTAGAACTGCAACTGGCCTGATCACCTCCAAACATGACAAGGGTAGAACTGTCTTTTACCGCCTGGTAACCTTCCATGGGACCCAAGCCGAGATATCTATGATCTTGTGATCGTAAAAGTCGATGACGATCAGCAGGAGCAGTTGTAGGGCTTGATGGGATAGATAGGGTTTGATGATCATGATGGCTAGAAGTATTTGTACTATACAGATATGATGAAGGTGGTGATGATGACGATAATGGAGCATTGATATTGATATTACTATTCTGAAAAATTGATAGTGATGGGTAGCTGTAGTTTGTTGAAGAATTGAACGATTCAAGATGATGAAAAGGTTTTCTGATTTCAGGGATGGAGATTAAGCTGCTCATCATCTTCTTCTTCAGCTTTGTGTTCCAGTAGTTCTTGATATCATTGTCTGTTCTTCCTGGTAACTGTGCTGCCATTATTGACCACCTGCACATTAACTTACATTCTATTAATTATCAGCTTCTTGATTTCTGCATATATATCCACACAAACACAGATCTTGATTCCATCTAAAACTAAAACGCTCACAAAACCACCTTAATTATCAAGATTCTTGAAACCTGCAACTCTTTTCAAGGTTAAGAGAGAAAGAGAGGGAGAGAGAGAGAGAGAGAGAGAGAGAGAGTACCTGCTACCAATGCTTGCAAAGAGTGTACAGATAACTTTATCTTCATCATCAGAAAATTCACCATGTTTAATGTTTGGTCTCAGATAGTTCAACCATCTTAATCTGCAGCTCTTTCCACATCTTCTAAGGCCTGTGCGACAGTAGTAGGTTTTGAAATCAACAAACAAATTAACACCCACATGTATATTATTTCAAGAAAACAAACACTAATTGATCAGTAGAGTGGTCTGAACGAAATGAACCAATACCTGCTTTTTGTGGGAGAGCAATCCAGTTGCCACCAGTACCATGGCTTTCTATGTACTCTTTCAGCTTTCTATCTTCTTCAGGTGACCATGGCCCTTTCTTCACATTTGCCTTATCACAGCATGGAGCTCTTCCCATCTCTCACTACCTAAATCTTTCTCTAAGTTTTGTGTATGTAAAAGGGATTGATAGTTTTTGGGGGAAATGAAGGTTGGATTTATGTGCTTAAGAAGAAGTCTTGTGGGTGTCTATAAATCAACTGTTTTCTTCTGTTCAAAGAGAGAGGGGAGAGGGAGAGAGAGCTACAGAAGTCAATGGACAATTACTTTGTTAATTTAATTCACAAAAAAAAAAAAAAAAAAAACATATTTGTTCTTCCTTGTATTCTGAAAAAATATTTAATTAACATCAATTAAATAAATCAAACTTACAAATATCAAGTAATAATTGTTATGTTTAACTAGAAAACAAAAACTAGAACGACCGATTCTTGGGGTTTGTTTTATCCTAAATAAAAATATTCATTAATTTTTTTTTATTAACCTGGATATTCAACCCGCTATGTGAGCTGACTAATCTTAGGGTGACAATCTGCTTTGCAGATAGTCTGGAGTCACCGCATTTGAACCTTTGTGGTCACAAGAGGATTTTTATTTTTTCTTGGATTTGAAACTGGGACTTCCTGGTACTTTTGACCTTTGGAGCCAAGCTCAAATCAATCATGCACCAGTTTTTATTAAAAATTATTGTATATTAATAAATTGAAATAAACTATATATCCACAAGTTAGAGCCTTTTTTACGTGAGGTGTCTTCTTTAGTGTGCTACTTTCTCAATGGATCCAAAGTCTTTGCCCTAATAATAGAATACAATTCATGTACGAAAATGATGGCCACTTTTTTATTTTAAAAAAAGTTGATGGTCACTTCAATTTCTTTTCTCTTCTTTTCTTCCATTCCATATATATATATATATATATGTGTGTGTGTGTGTTTTTCTTCATAAGTGGTACACCCAAGTCAAGGTGGGTACATTAACGATAATTAAGCTCCTCTATGAAACTAGAGTTGTAAACAAACCGAACGTTCAACGAACCGTTCTTAAATCGTTCGGCAGGAAATTCATTTGTGTTCGTTTATTTAATAAATAAAGGGATATGATCAAATTTTTTTGTTCGTTTAGTTAAACGAACGAACGTGAACAAGAGTCTCGTTCGTTCATTTATGTTCGTGAACGTTCGTTCATTTACCGTTCGTTTACGTTTGTTTATATTCGTTCGTTTATGCTCGTTCGTTTATATACCAAATTTAATATATAATCTTTTGTTTATTTACTTTGAATTAAAATAATATTTATTTATGTTCGTTTAACCCGTTCGTTTATGTTCGTTCGTTTACGTTCGTTTAGCATGTTAACGAACGAACATACACGAACACGAACACACCTGATTTCTAAACGAACGAACACGAACACAAAGATTTTCGTTCGTTTATTGTTCGTGTTCGTTCGTTTGTTCGGTTAAGTTAAACGAACATGAACAGACCTTCTTTCGTGTTCGTTCGGTTTATTTACAGCCCTAAAAACCGTTACTTTGTTTCGATTTCTATTTTAAAGAATCTATTTTTAGGATAAGACATTTTTAACAATAATTTTAGTAAAACAAGAATTCAAGATTGATTTTTGGTTAAAGATGTTCATACGTTTCATTTTTTGTTGATAAAATTATATTGGATTTTCTTAGTTGAATATAATATAGAATACCCTTTATTTTAAATTAGAATTCTCAAAAACTAGTTATGAAAAGTAAAAGCTAGAACACAGTACATTTACTTTATTCCATTTTGCCCTGTATTGTATATGTTGAAATAGGCACAAAAAGATATTGTTTACTGTTTTAATAAAAGCGTAAATACTATAAAATAAAATATGTCTCGTAAACCACAAAGATGGTGTCTGATTGGTTTGAGCTTGACTCAAAAGGTTAAAAGTAACAGGAGGTCTCAGGTTCAAATCCAAGGAGAAATAAAAACCCCCTCGTGGCCACGGAGGTTCAAATGCGGTGACTCCGGGCTATCTACAAAGTAGGTGGTTGCCCTAAAATTAGTCGACTCGCATAGTGAGTTGGATATCCAGGTTAATCAAAAAAAAATGTCTCGTATCATATGTTCTGTTTATATGTGTTTAATTGTTGTATTAATGGTATGCATAGATTTTATGGTAGAATAAAGAGTGTCGTTAAAAGTAATTTCGTTTAGGATTAAATCGATGAATTGAAAATATAAAAAATGAGGTTAATTGATTTTAATATACGTGAGAAAGAAATTTGTAAAGGGATATGTTTAGCGTGGGAATTTTGAGTTTATATGCTTAATAAATGTTGTCAAAAATATAAAAAAATTACTATCCTATAATAATATTCTTAGCTTTCAAATTCTTTCTAATACTGATGTTTCTAAATACAGAGTATGCTTAGTGTGGTTCATCAGAAGTACAATGTTTATGAATTCTCGATACCTAGCCTAGTACACCATCTTGATAGCCTCTCGAGATTTTATTGATTTCAAGGTGGCCACTCATTGATCTTCCACGTGTCTTTTTTCCTCATTGTTGGGCATAATAAAACTATTACGTGTCATAATGAAAAAGTAACATGACTTACTGATTAGATCATAAAGTAGCAAACAAACGATGATATAACTTAACAAAGTCGATATTTCTATTAAGTTTACTAACTTACAAACAAACAAACATCTAATGGATTTAATATGTTAGGAATCGTACATGACTGTTTGATTCATACTTAATAAATTAATAAGACAATGACTTTCAAAGTAATGAAACATGGATCCAAAAGTTAACAAACTAGGAATCTACAAATGGGCATTTATGTCTTTTGTATTAAAGCCATTTTGTTTAATTCCACCTCACTTTTATAATATAGGTCTCCACATATATGATCATTTCATCAAACAAAACCATCATTATTAATACACCTCTTGTTACATACACAACATTTGAACATACCTTAATATATACATTTTTACCTATGTATAATGCATTTAATTATGCTCGGCTATATTTTTGATAATCAAGAAACGTAGTCGTTGATTATTCATGGTCTATTAGTTATTTTTTTAACCACAAGGGTAGTGTCCGATTGATTTGAGTTTGAACTCTAAATGTTAAAAGTGTCTGGAGGTCTTAGGTTTGAATCTAAAAAAAGATCCAATTTGATGGTATTTTTATATTTATTAGAAACGAAATATATAATAAAACAAGATATCAAATTTGTTTAATATCAAATACATGTTTCAAAAATCTCAAGTGGAGATAATAAAAAAGAAAGATGATAAAGTAGCAATTAATTGGTACGATAATGTAATTAAGTTTGTGGGGGTCAAACAAGTACCATAATATGAAAGTTGACTTTTATGAGAATTTGAGATTTTAAAAGATAATCAATAATGTGATGAAATTGCAAAAATATTCACAACTTGGTAGCTTTTCGGCAATCAGCTATTCGCATTTAACACAAGCCAATATGAAAATTGTTAAATGGTCAACATCAATTGGTCAACCAATCAATATAATTGCATATTATTCATTATTATTATTATTATCATTTTGGATAAATAGAATGAAATCCAGTAACAAAATCAAATTTCATCAACTGTAAATATATTTGTTGACTTATAACATCTTCGATAGTTATGTTAAAATTGAGATTTTAAAACTTTCTTTCAATAATTATCCTAAAATATATGTTAAAATAGAATATATATATATATATATATATATATATATAGAGAGAGAGAGAGAGAGAGAGAGCGATCAAATGAAAATCACCTTCATTTGTAAACACCGTACAAACTATCCTCATACGTCGATTTCATTGTTCAATCTTATAAAATTTGTGATAACTGTAAGATCTAATCTCAACCACAAATCAACGGATAAATTATAAAATTAATAATTAGAGGGCATTTTAGATATTTTTAAAAAAACTCCTCTCTCCAACCTCCAATCTCCGGCATCCGGTGAACATTAATCCGGCAGGTACCAAGTAATCACAAAGATACACAATGTGATATCCATTGTGATACCAACTATGATACCAAGTCAAACCTTAAAAACAAAGATACACAATGTGATAGTCATTGTAATACACAATTTAATACCCATTGTGATATACTGTGATACCAATTTCATCGGAGGTCGGAGATTGGAGGTCGGAGAGATGAGAGAGGAGAGAGGAGTTTTTTAAAAAATACCTAAAATGCCCTCTAATTATAATTTTCACTTAAAGTACCATAATTATTAATTTCCTAATTTATCCGTTGATTTGTGGTTGAGATTGGACCTCACGATTACCACAAACTAATCAGTTCTCATTTGATTAGGCCCCTATATATATATATATTGTTGGTCCCAAAAGGGTCTACAAGAATACTAAACAGTTTGTAGAAGGGGGGGGGG